CACATGAGAAAATGCTCGACATCATTAATTATCAGGGAGATGCAGATCAAAACAACAATGAGATATCATTTCACACCACAGAGACTGGCCCACATCCAAAAGACCAAAAGCAACCGATGTTGGCGTGGATGTGGTGAGAAAGAAACTCTCCTTCAGTGCTGGTGGGAATGCCCACTGGTTCAGCCCTTTTGGAAAATAGTATGGACGATCCTCAAAAAATTAGAAATTGACCTCTCATTTGACCCAGCAATACCACTCCTGGGAATATATCCCAGAGAGGCAAAAAAAAGTGTAGTCGAAGTGACATCTGCACTTGTTTGTTCATCGCAGCACTCTTTACAATAGCTATAATCTGGAAAAAACCTGAATGCCCAAGAACAGATGACTGGTTAAAGAAACTTTGGTGCATCTACACAATGAAGTACTATGCGGCTGTTAGAAAAGATGAAGTCATGAAATTCATATACAAGTGGTACTACATGTAAAGTATCATGCTAAGCAAAATGAGTCAGAAAGAAAGGGACAGACATAGAAAGATTGCATTCGTCTGGGGAACATAAAGTAACAAAAGAGGAGACTAACACCCTAGAATAGCCGAGAGAGGTACCAGGAGGATTACTCCATTGCTTTGAGGACAGCCGCACACGCTAGGGGAGAAGGCAGCTCAGAAAGAGAAGGGAGCACCAAATAAAGGGTTATGGGAGGTTCCTCTCAGGATGGAAAATGCGTGATGAGAGTAGAGTATAGACCGAACAAGATTGCCACTCAATGTCTCTTTTGCAAACCACAGCACTCAAAATGAGAAAGATAACAAAAGGGAATGCTCTGCCACAGAGATAGGGTGGGATGAGGGGATGGGGGAAGGAGGGATACTGGGACTGGTGGTGGTAGAGAATGGGCACTGGTGGAGGGATGAGTATTCTATCATTGTATAACTGAAACCCAAGAACAAAAATTTGTAAGTCTATAACTGTACCTCATGGTGTTTCACTAATAAAAATTTAAGGGAAAAAAAGTAGTTAAGACAGGGGATGGAGCGATAGCACAGCGGGTAGAGCATTTGCCTTACATGCGGACGACTCAGGTTCGATTCTCAGCATCCCATATGGTCCCCCCGAGCACCGCCAGTAGTAATTTCTGAGTACATGAGCCAGGAGTAACCCCTGTGCATCACTGGGTGTTACCTAAAAAGCATAAAAAAGAAATTAGTTAAGACAGACAGGGCTGGAGCGATAGCATAGCAGGTGGGGCGTTTACCTTTCACACAGCCAACATGGTAGACCCGAGTTCGATTCCTCTGCCCCTCTCAGAGAGTCCAGCAAGCTACCGAGAGTATCTTGCCCTCACGGCAAAGCCTGGCAAGCTACCCGTGATGTATTCTATATGCCAAACACAGTAACAACAAAGTCTCACAATGGAGATGTTACTGGGCCCACTCGAGCAAATCAATGAACAGCGGGAGGACAATGACAGTAAAGACAGAGAAGGGACCAGTATGACAATAATGGTTAGAAATGATCACTCTGGACAAGAATTGAGTGTTAAAAATAAGTAAAGGGATATATGTGATAACATTTCAGTATCTGTATGTAAACTCTAATGGCCAAAAGGGGAGAGAGAGAGAGAGAGAGAGAGAGAGAGAAGAAAAGTTCCTTCCATAGAGGCAGCACAGTGAGTGGTTGGCAGGAAAACTGGGGACATTGATGGTAAGAAATGTACATCGGTCAAGGAATGGATGTTGAAACACATAACTGAAACCCAATCATGAACAACTTTTTAACCATGATTCAATAAAAAAATTAAATTGAATAAGGAAAGTAATAAAAATTTGGAAAATATGTTCAAGAAGAATCCAAGAAATATAAGTTAAAAGAAATTAATCAATCCAGAATTTGAAAAAATTCTTTAAAGTTCAGAAATTCTGATTAGTTCAGAAGATTATAAGATATATCTACAATAAAAATTAAATAGAGTGTCTAGTATTTTCTCATAGGGCATTTGCCTTGCACGAGGCCAACTCGGCCGACCTGAGTTTGGTTCCTCCACCCCTCTCAGAGAGCCCGGCAAGCTACCAAGAGTACCTCGCCTGTACCGCAAAGCCTGGCAAGCTACCCATGACGTATTCAATATGCCAAACACAGTAACCACAACTCTCACAACAGAGACGTTACTGGGCCCGCTCGAGCAAATCAATGAACAATGGGAGGACAGTGCTACAGTGCTACTTATATATCTAGATCATTGTTAAATTTAGAAACGAATATAGAGAAAATTAAGGAAACAAACAAGGTGATTTTTTTTTAAAGAATCCTAAATATTTTATTATCTTTTTTTTCCTCATGTGCCTTTTTTTTTTTCAGACTTACACATTTTTGTGCTTGGGTTTCAATTATACAATGATCAAATACCCATCCCTCCACCAGTGCCCATTTCCCACCACCACGGGATCCCAGTATCCCTCCTACCCCCCCATCTCCCCCATCCCACCCTGCCTCTGTGGCAGGGCATTCCCTTTTGTTCTCTCTCTCTTATTAGGTGTTGTGGTTTGCAAAAGAGGCAATGGGTGACACCAAACAAGGTGATTTTTAACTTTTTGAATAATGGAAATTTGATAGTGGAAGAAAACATATTCAAAATATGATGTATTTGTGAGTAGCACTTACATAGTCATAATATGCAATAAATATTGATTTATTAAAATTTGAAATGATAATGGGCTGAAGTGATAGCATAGCGGGTAGGGCGTTTGTCTTGCATGCAGCCAACATGGCTGACCTGAGTTCGATTCCTCCGCCCCTTTAGGAGAGCCCAGCAAGCTACCGAGAGTATATCGCCCGCACAGCAAGGCCTGGCAAGCTACCCGTGATATATTCACTATGCCAAACACAGTAACAAGTGTCACAATGGAGATGTTACTGGACCCACTCAAGCAAATCGATAAACAAGGGGAGGACAGTGAAATGATAATAGAACTGTACAAGTTAAACAACGTGAATATGGGGGTTAGGAATGGATAGTAAAAAAATTCTTTTAATTGAATCATCATGAGATAGAGCATTACAAAATTGTTCATGATTGCATTTCAATCACACAATATTCTAACACCCATCCCTTCACTAGTGTAATTTTCCAGCCATAGTAAAATTTTTATCTTTCAGCAAAAAGAAGTCAATGGAGGGTGACTAAAACTAGAAAAAAAATTTGTGGGTTTCTTTCTGACACTGTTAGAAAGAAACACTAGACAAAATAGTACAGAATTGCCTCTAGTGGACTAGGGAGGTGGATAAAAGGGCTAGAGCACATGTTCTATAGGAGAAGCCCTGGATTCAGTTCCCAAGAGCAACCCCTGAGCACCAAGCTTGGAGTACCTGCCATTGCTGCCCAGTGTACCACCAGGCGTGTCCCCAAAACAGGGATTAGAACACTTATATTGCATGTATATGACCAAGGTTCTATCCCTGGCACCACTTACAGTCCCATGAGCACCTCCAGGAGTACACTCTGAGGATTGCTGAATGTGGCTCAAAAATAAATATAAAACAACAACAAAAAAAGAGTTTCCTTCAAAGTGTTGTCAATGGCAGAAGAGATCAAGGACTCGTGTTTGAGTTCAATTATAGTTATAAACTTTCAACAACTATGATTTTTTTATGTACTCAAAGAAAACAAAATGTATTTGCACATAAAATTTCATGAAATTAGGTAGTAAGAGATTTAAGAGTGAATGAAAATTGAGGTTTGTTTCATCAAGCTGGATAGTTAAAGGAAGAGAAATGAGTTAGTTATTTGGTAGAAAAACAGAATTAAAGAGAAATTGATTGATTGTGGTTCTTGAAAGAACTAATGGTCAGTCAGTTTGTTCAAGACAGGAGGAATGGGCTGAAGGAAAAGATAGTAACTGAGAGTTTAATGAAGTAAGAGGGAATGAATGAGATAATCAGAGCCCCAGGGGAAGTGATGTATGTTGGAAAAAGAAAAGGTCAAAGGGCTCAGTGTTGAAAAGAATAGGAACATTATTTTTTATTATGAGGGAACGATTATTAAAATATTTTCATGGCATATAGCTCATACTTTCTCTCCACAGTAGTGGGTAAGTTATCTGTGCAGACTGGAATTTTTTGATGATCTGATGGATGAAAGGAATGCTGGGAACCAATTTTGAGACCCTCCCCATCTGAGGGGGATATCACAATGTATGTATGAGTAAGCATGTGGTGCCATCACTGAATACCACAGACTCAGTCTCAGTGTCCCTTCTCAGCCTGCAGGCAAGTTCCAAGATCAAAGTGCCCACAGAGCTTGGTTCTGGTGAGGATTTGCTTCCTGGCCTGACACTTCTCTCTGCCTTCACATGACTGACTGGGAACAAGGGTCTTCTCTCTTTTCATATCAGGACACCAATCTTAGTGGTGTCAAGATGGCTATCTGACCTCATGTAACTTTAATTACTTCTTATTCCAAGTATACATTGGGGTAGTTGGGAAAGACACAATGCAACCCATTGCAAGTGTATACTTCAGTATTGTAACCTGAATAATCTTCTGTATAAACTCACAGCCCAGGAATGGAGAGAAGACAGATGATTGATTTGATCCAAATTTGAGGATTAGCTAAGATAGAAATTTAAGGAAGCAAAGGAATCAAAGGTCTAATGAAAGTATGGCTAAAATAATTAACCATATATTTCCAGAACAGTGGCAAAGAAAGCAGGAAGACTTGGGAAGAAAAAGACTCTACTTATTATTTCTTTAGTTTGGTAACCCACTAAGGAAGGGACCAGGACTGGGAAGCTCCCAGCAGTTCCCTGAGTGTGTAGGCTTTAGAACAATTGGGAACTCTTTCATTGTGTGCTTTTTTTTCAGGTTAGCCCCATTTTATGGAACTTAACTGCTTCTTCTTACACTTTCAATTTCAGTGGAAATAAATAAGAATTATCAAATCAAAAAGAACGTAAGTTTCAGAAATAGCAATAATTATCACATTTTATTCTTTCTTTTTAGACGGCTGAACACATTGAACAAGTGTGCCTCAATGAAACTTGATGTGAACTTCCAAAGGAAAAAGGTAGGTGTCTACCCCTAATCTAAGTCTGTGGCAATGGCAATAAAAGAAGCCTGCATTTATAGACTGAGAACAAGAATCCAAGAAGTTTTCTGAAATGCTTGACCATCTATGTTTTTCTAATCATAACCATCATAAATAAGCCCATTATTAACTCAGAAGAGATCTGTTATTCCATACTGCATTAGTTTTTAGCAGACAGTTTGTTTAAAGATTGAATATATCTTAATTCTTTATGATAATCTTTCCAAGGTTTGTTTTGTTCTAAATATTCACTGCCTAATAGAACCAAATAGTCCACAGAGATTAGTAGACTAAGAGAATGCAGGAAAGAATCTGTGTGTTTGTGCCAAGAATCTTCCACTTTATTCTTTCCAGTCATATTTTATTTCAAGTTCATTGCAAGATGTCCCTTTTCACAGGCAGGTTAGTTCCATAATGGTTATTGGGATCAGAGAGGCAGGAATATAATATGACACTGAAACCACCTCATTTTCCATCCTTTCCAGAAGAATTTTATTGTTTCTGTTTGTTTGTTTAACATACATTGAAGTAGCATTGCATTATGACATGATATGGTTCAAGCAGGTGTTAATTATATAAATCAGCATTTTTCTATAACAAATTAAATTTACCACTAAAATTCCAAAGTCAACACCGTTTTGTGTTGACTTTCACTAGTTAACACCCGCTCACCTCTTGCTTGTCTGATAATCACTAATGTGATCTTATAGTGTAAAACTATTTTGTTTAGTTCATGTATTTGTTTTACTTTTTCAATATACCTCATTATGAGTGAGATCACTGTTTCTTTTCCACCTCGCCTGTTTCACTGAACACTTTAAATCCATCCATTACATTGGAAATGTCAGTGTTTTGTCTTTTTATAGCTAAATAGTATTCCTTTGAGCACTATATATTCTTTATCTCTTAATCTGTTAATGAATTCTTAGGTTGGTTTTGACATTATATGCTCTGATGAGCCTGGAAAGGGAAATATTTCTTCAGATGGTAATGGTTTTTTACAGTTATGTGGGGGAAATACCCAGAAGTGGGCTCCCTGGATAATTTGGAATTTCTATTTTTAATTTTTTGAGGACTCTCCATACTCTTTCATTCACTCATAAGTCAGTTATACCCCTTCCCTTCTAGGGTTTTGCCAGTGTTTGTCCCTCTCTGTGAAGGAGACTGTTATTTTCGGGGGAAAAAGTGAAACAAAACACTGCTTTGGTGCACACTTACTGTTTTCCAGAAACCATGTTATGTGCTCCTCATACACATTCTCAATTAGTCCACCAACGTAGGGGTTCTTTATTTTTCATATAAGGAAAGTAAAACCTAAATTGGTAAAAATCATTTTCTGTGATATTTCAGCTTGAATCAGAGACTTTCATTCTTTACTGTGTCTAATTCCAACACTGAAGCTTCTCACTAAAAAGCTTCTCTGTTTCACTCAATCAACCCTTTTAGAAAACTCAGAATTAAGATTGTTAACTATGCGTTTAATATCACCTCTTTAATATGTAACTAGTTGAGCCTTTTTGACTAGTTACATTTTGATATGTTTTGAAGAGGCAATGAAAACATTTTTGAGTCAAAAGAAAGTGTTCTTTATTCTGGTGTACACAGAGCAATAATTAAATCCAATGGATTTTAAGTCACTGCTGAGTAATTTAATCTTTAAAAATAACTTCAACCTGAATTTCTCTACTAAAGTAGTACCCAAAAAAGCAAATGGATTTTGGTTGACTTCACCTTAAAAACAATTTGAGGTTTGAGTTAAGAACTAAAGGTTTAAATTAAGGAGGTAAAAGAGTGAAAAACAATATCCAGAGAAATATTGAAACATAAGCAATTTGTCCAGGCAAAAGACAAATTAAAAATGTGGGAATAAATGTCCCAACAGCTGTCTGGCTGAATAGACTCTTGAGAAGTATACATACTATTTGAAGCATGAGAGTCAGATGTTGTTTTGATTGTAACACATGGTTCTTATTAAATCAAACACAGGCATGCCTGTGTGTCTAAAGTGTGGCTGGCCTATTATGTCTGCCTATACAGCACTTTAGCTGCAGTGCATTACAGAAGAAAACTGCCAAACACTAATGGCATGACATGTTTTCCACCAAGTAGAGTGATTGGATTGTTACACTATCACCAACATTTCAAAACCCATTTGTGAAGTTGACTTGAATAACTTTCATGAGACTATGTATGTGTTACCTTCCTAAATGCACCTCTGTAAATTGGTCACTGTAGTATTCTGACCTTCTTAATTTATTCCCTGTGTTGGATTACAGTGCACACCCTAGTAATCCTACATAACTATAGGCTTTAATAATGTATACCTGGAATAAAATATAGCTTTTCATAGTGTATTTTGAGGAGCCATGACCTGAATTTTCAAATAAATAATTCCAATCTATGGTTTCTATTCACTGAATCTCAATAGTCCCAAATCATGTAATCTTAACAGTCTAAGCAACTGTACAGGAAACCCTAGGCAATAGCTCATGTTTCTGTGATCAGCCTCCTATACTAGTCCTTTCTTTTACTGTTTTTAAAAAAGACTAAAATAAATAAAGACTTAAAAATAGTAGTCCAAATGGTGAAAAGTAGAAAGTGAAATTTGAAAACCGAGCACCACGGGATGTTTGAGCCCACTTTGGGCTTGGTTTATTTGGTGAAGGTTTTGTGCATACGATTTTTGAATAACACCCAGCAGTGCTCCTGGCACTGTACTCGGGAATACGCCTGGCAGTTCTTGGGGGATCATATGGAATGCTGGGGATCAAACCCAAGTTGAGCTCATGCAAGGCAAACACCCTACCCACTCTACTATCCCTCCAGGCCCAGGCTTGGATTATTTGGAAGAAAAGACAGCCACATTTCCTTTAAGTGCATCACCATTGAAAGCAATCTCGGAAATCAAAACATAATGCTCACCTCTAATCTGAAGAGGCCTGGTGATGTTTATTTCTGCTGAGTGTCATATCCAAGTGGTGTCACTAACCAGAACCATCTTGATTCTCCTTCTGGAGTTGCTGAGTATATGGTAGTACTATGTGTTGCTTCCTTAGCAGTTTGTGGGGTTAGCAAATATTCACACTGTGTTTGCTGTATGCCAGGCACTCTTCCTCATCAGGAACCCTATGCCACAGGTACAATCATTGAAGGATAGGAAAGCAAAACACCTTACTCAAAACCACACAGAAATAACAGAGGCAGAATTTGAATCCAGATAGTCTGGCCCCAAACTGCTCCCTTTGCCTTTCAAGTATGTTCAGAAATTTTTCAGAATTTGAGTGAGTGTCTGGCCCTTGATCTGAGATCAGGAAAGATTTTCTCAACAGTATGTATCATGAAGCATTTTTACTGTTTTGTGTTTGGTTGTTTAAGAAGATGGGTGTTTCATCTCTACTAATGGTGCTCACTTAGTTTTGTGTCTTCATGGAAATCTGTCCCGGGATCTTTCTGTCACAGTGAATGACTCACGAATCCCACTGCTCTGCTTTTCATTTGAGCTTGGGAAGACATTGGCCTTCCCAAGTTGGTTGGCTACAAGCTAAAGAAACAGAAAAAGTCCACAAAAGGTTAAGAAGGTGGAGCTTCATTTCACACTCAGCTATCATCTTTGCTAGTATATCAACAGCTACTTGAGATGCATAAGAAGACAAGAAATCCTGCCTGGCTGCCCTCCCACAGAGAGGTCCTTGCAGAAGAGGCCCAGTGTTCTTTAAAGATTTAAGTGAACCTTCACCATCTCTGTAAGAACCAGGCAGGGAAGCGCTTTCTCGCTCTTCCCCGCACCTCACTGAAAAAACTCACTAAAACTTGAAAACCAGGGGCATTTCTAGAGAGACTAAAGGCACCAGTTCTCCCACTCTAACTCTGTACACCCCAGCCCCAACCCCAATCCCCTCATTTCACAAAGGCCTCGAGATGCTCTCCCTACCGTGCTGGCACATTCTCACTTCGGAGCAAACTGCTCAACCATTCAGCTCAGTGCCTTTCAAAGCCAGAGACACTTGGAATTTCCATGTAACTGTGGATTAGATGCCTCTTGCAGCTGTGGACTCATGGGAGCCCCTGTTGCCAGTGAAAAGAGACCCAAATTCCGTTCAACACAGAAAACACCTCTTTGGAGTGTCTGGTTGGCATCTGTCTCTGAGGAATATATAATTTCAGCTAAGAATGTTCTCATTTTTCAGAACAAGCCAAACATAGGAGTCTCAGGCATATGTCAAGCTACTGTTTCTAAGAAAAGTATTTCTTCTTCATTACTGCCTACAAAGTTCATTCTTCATGACAACCTCAAAATCCCTGAATTAAGGTTAGTGTACACGTGATATGTCTCCCATTCAAAAATATAGCCAGAGACTGAAGACTCTAAGGACTCTAAGACTCTAAACCCAATGGGGAAAGAGGGCACTTAATGAATATGAGAGTCTCACCTTCAGGGGCCAGAATCATAGTACAGTGGGTAGTGCACTTACCTGGCACAAGTCAACCTGATTTCTATCCCCAGCACTCCATGTGGTCTCCTGAGCCCGTCAGTAGTGATCAATGTGCACAGAGACAGGAGTCAGCCTTGAGCACCACTGGGTGTGTCCCCCAAAAAAGTCTCGTGTTCAAAGATGTCCCAAGAGAGAAAGAAAAGCTAAAAGCGAAGATGCTAAGTCTTTATAAGCTCTCTGAAATCACAACCAAAGGTGACAAGCAATGCAGAAACCATAACCAACTGCCACCATACAGTCAGTAGTTCCTGGCATGGATGCCATCAGTGCTTCAAAAGAACTGCAGCTGTCACTGAGGGAACTGATTTTCCACTCCCTTCCTCCTCACTCCCTGTCACAACCCTACATCTCCCACCAAATAGGATGCTTCCTAGCAGCTCCAAGCAGCAGTGTCAAATGAGAGAGAAAAATTCATTTCATTCCATCATTCACTTGACTGGAGATGATCATAGTCTTGAAACTAAGATAATTACATGTGATTGTCCT